CTTTGGGTGACAGTGTGTCGTGTAGGGGGATTCATGGTTGGGGACAGGGTGAGAGTGAAACTGACAAGGTTGTGGTTCGAGAGGGGAAAAGGGCTGTTGGAGAGGTTGCAAGGTGTGCATAGATGAGAGAAGACAAGATCTAGTATGTTACCATCTGAGTGAGGAGTGTGTGTCCACTGTCTTAGGTCAAAAGAAGAGGTTAGGTTAAGAAATTGAGTCGAAGCCTGGGTGTTAATGTTATTAGCGATGTTAAAGTCAAAAAGAATGATAGTGGGTATTTCTGAGGAAAGTAAGGTAGCCAAGCAGAGAAGTCATCAAGAAAGCGAGATAGCGGTCCACGAGGTCGGTATATTACAGCAACGCTCAGAGAAGCAGGAGAAATTAGGCGAATACAGTGAGCTTCTATAGTGAGGGAGGTGAAGGCAGAACTTGAAAAGTGCATTGTGGGGATAGAAGGATTCCCACTCCACCTCCTTTTCGTCCACTGGGTTGGGCGAGTGTGTCCAGTGGAGGCCACCATGGGAGAGGGCAGCAGGGGAGGCCCAGTCTGATTCCTGAAGCCAGGTTTCAGTGACAGCAAGCAAGTTAAAAGAATTGGAGATAAGAAGATCATGCACAGCAGTGAGTTTGTTACAGACAGAGCGGGCATTCCAGAGGGCACATGAGAAGGAAGGACTGGTTCTAGGAAGAAGCGGAATAGAAATAAGGATGCGTGGGTTGCGGCTGCTGCCAGGGGAAAGGGAATGCTGGTTCGGGGGTGAATATTATAAAACACAGGGCCAGGATTGTGACAACTATCCCCAGAAGTAAGGAGAAGCATAAGGGTGAGTGAAGTAAGGTGAGAGTGAGATTTATATGAGTGAACGTGCCCCATTGTCCAGAGCTAACCCATATATGTGCGTTGAATGAGAAGGAGTTGGTGAGTGCAGTAATAGGGAGAGGGTAGGAGAGAGGGTGCAATATATTATTTGTGGGGTGGAGAGAGGGGGTAAAGAAAAGAAAGTTTAAGAAGTGAAGACATAATTGTGAACAGGAGTGGTAGTGAAGGCATGTTACGTGACGGAGAGTGGAAAATCAGATTTGGTAGAGATAGAGGTGAAATGAATGAACAGGATTACCTGTAGTATAAATGCAGCAGTGTAGTTATTTGGGTGCATTTTCTAAGTGTAAAGTTGATGACACTTAATATCAGAGAGACATTGCAAAGTGCCTTTGCCCCCTAGCAGTAGTGCTTTCCCCCATAAGCACATCTGAATGTATAAGGCTATGGGGTAGGGGGGTGTCTACCAATTAAACAATTAGGAAATTATAAAAGACAAAATAAAAACTTTCACACTAGGAAAAGACAGCCATAGACTACATAGATAACATCACCTTTTGGGTACACAGGAACGTGAGTATATGTTAATATCATAGTATCAAAGATACAGCAGCAGGTCAGATCAGAAGGAAATACCATTAAGGGGTCATACTCATGCACATCTGCTAATGTGGTGTACATGTTACAGTGTTCAGTATGTGACAAAGGTTGTTACATTGGGGAAACTGACCTTAAGCTGCATCTAGGGATGAACCTTCACAGTAGCTCGATCAAGAACCACAAAGAAAACAAATATTACACCCCAGTAGGACATCACTTCTCCCAGAAAGATCACTCCATCCAAAACCTCAATATTAAAGTACTGAAAGGGAATTTTAAAAACTCTCATGAAAGGAGAACATTTGAAATTAAAATTATTTTACATTTCAACACCATAAAGGAGGGACTTAATGTGGATTCTGGTTTTCTGACGCACTACCAGAACTTTTTATGACTATACAGAACATCATAATCATGTATGTCACATATCTCTGATCTGTATAGGGTTCATTGATCATCATATGTTTGCTCTGTGTTTTAGTGATCAGGATACATCTTTTACTCCCATGTCCAACATTTATGACACCCCACTCTCAACAACTCACTAACAACTCTCTCTTGCTTTAAGTCTTTAACTCTGTCATGTTGATTAGTATTGCTTCTGACCTGAAGAAGAGAGGTTAACTCTCGAAAGCTTGTCTTTTTTTAATAATAGGTTAGTCCAGGGCTCAAAATTTCTACACGCCTGCTCGCATTTGGCGAGTAAAAATAAAGTGAGGGCGAGTGGAAATTTGGGTCTCCCAAGTACCGGTCCGCGGGCCAACTCCGGCCCGCAAGCCGGTACTATGTTGCCCGCAGCCAGCTGACATGTCAGGCACACGGTCGCAGAGCTGCCCCTGTCAGCTTCGGCCGGAGCTCTGACATTTCTGAGCTCCGGCCAAAAGAAAGGATGTATGTGAGGAGGATCGATCCCTGGTTATCTGGGGGTAATTAGTGTGGTCTCACTAATCACCCCCAGATAACCAGGGATCGATCCTGCTAACAGCCTCCTCCCTGCAAAGACGTGAACAGGTGAAGGGGGGGGGGGGGGGGGGTATT